AGGTAGTCGTTAAGAGCCTTTTGACAGTACTCTAACTCATTCTGGATCTGACGTAGACTGTCAAGTTTTCGGTCAGCCAAACAACATTTCATGATAAATTGTACGTTCTGAGCACTGTTCATGATCTAGCAATAGATGTAAAAGTGACAGAATGATTAGCAAAGAACGATTGTTTCCCCCATTTGCCGAGATCTTATGCCAATGTTTGAATGAGATCAGCTTGGTCTTGTCATTGAGTGAGGATGTAGGCGCTATTACTGTCAACCTGGATACTCTATCTGAGGATATGTCTGGTAAATAAGTACTTTGGAATCAGGACTTTATCAGACATCAGTAGCCATTTATTTCCCAAACTTAGGTCCCCGTGGCTTGGGCATATCGCGCACAGACAAGGCACCATTTATGGGAGTGGCGCACGCCCATGAGAGAAAGGGTGAAGAGAGGCTCAAGTGAGATTTTCTGAATACGGTGGGAGAATGATGAGCTACCAGTCCGTCTCTTCCTATTCGGCTAGACACTGAAATAGGCAACCGAGCCCAATACTTGGAGTACTTACGCTAATTCCCAGTAGACTAGGGTAAGTCTTAATGTCAGTCCAGCGCATCTATCATGCGGCCCGTTTAGGAGGCATCGCGGCCGATTTCGGGGACACACTCAGACGAAGGGTTTCATACCACGTCGGCCACTGCGTCCAAGCTCGTCAGAAACTGGTTGACGGGCTCGGAGAGACCGCAAGCGCATGCGGGAAGGACAAACGAGTGCACCTGGTTCTAGAACTACCTTCCTCATGGCAAATAGGTGTTTAGTCAATAAAACGGATCGAACGCGCTTGGTTTATCACTGTGCGCTAACAGCTGACGGGATAAGTCGACCCTATTGAGGTTCAAGCTGTAGTGGCCCCTTCTTCATTTAGCCTCGGTGGAGCTTTCACTTACGCAATCTCTTAAACTCACCTACTTAGGACTGGTTCCTGTGGAGCTAGGGATGGGACGATAGGATACTAGAAAACGGCTGTTTATCTTTATCAGACACTGCTCCTACGTCCATCTTTGGTTGTCGAAAGGCAGCAGCATTAACCTAGTACGCCAGTGGAAGAAGGACCTCAGTGTTAGGAGTAGGTCTAACAGACTCGTTATCACGCTGTCTTGATGGCTCATTTCAGGGTGCATTATCGATCGGCACGGGCCGCACGCGTATTGAGATTGCACAAACCGCCGACCGGGATTAGTCCTCTGCCCTACCACTTGAAGGAGCCGGAAAACCACTCCACATGTCACCCTTCAAGGGCACACTCTGATTGGTCCGATTGAACAAGGCTCAACTTGACGGCCACAGCTAGGCTTGTGGTAAAAATATAACACTTAGCACCATTAGTAACACTACCGAAGTAGAGATAGATGTAATATGGTGGGATTTTGGGCAGTAAAGGGTGAACAGATAGAGTGTTTATCCTAATTTTTCAGTAACTCGGTCTTTGCCTGAACTCTGAATGTGTGCTTACCTTACGAAAATTCTTATCCAGGGCCTCAAATCGTTTGGCCTCCTGCGGCAGTTGATTTGCAATGTCGCCTCCCATGAAGATCGCCTCAAGGTACATCCATTTCTGTTGAACAATGACCCACATCTGAAAGAAAGTACAGAAGTTTGTAGTCAAATGTGCATACAAGCTGCTGCTACGCGCGGTATCTTTTAAGTGCTATCTGTATATATAGACAGCTTGTTAAGGTACTAACACAAGCCAGACAGCTGTTGAATAGTTATTACAGATCGTCCGTAGGCTACGGGCCCCTCTTGAAATTTATAAAATGACGTGCATAAATGTATCAAATAGGGACGTCATCCTTATTATTGTGGTTAAAATCTTGTTCAATCAATTGATTGGTGAATGCTGAACACGTACACGACGGCAAATAAATCAGAAATGGCCATTTCAGTCTCTCTTGTCTTTTTCGGTACTGTAATTTTGCACCAACCTACACCTACCTCAACAGTGTCGCTTATGGTGCTGAGGTCCTTCTCCCACTGTCGGACAATGTTAATGAAGGGTGCGGCATTTCGACTGCTGCCCACAGATTGCAGATTCATCATATTGTCTTCCAGTAGCTTGGTCGGCTCCTCCAGATTGCCTAGCGTTGGACATGGATCGCCCTTGCATTTGGTGTAGAGGTTGAAAGTGAACTTCAGCTCGTTCCAGGTGTTCTTAATGTCCTCGAGATTCTGTAAGCAGGAAAATTATAATTATAATTAAAACATTGTTTTCGCAGAAGGAATTTGAACAAGGAAAAGATCACAAGGTTAGCAGGATTTATTGACGTCATATAATTTCGCAATTAATGCGCAACGACCGTTTGCAGATGAATAAGAAGTCGATAAATTATATGAGGTCAATAAGTCCTGTCAATCCGGTCGGGATTTTTGCCTTGTTCAAGAAAATTATAGCCAAACATGTCAACCCCTCAATGGTGCGCAATACAGCTTATTCTTAAACCGGGGGGCTTACCTTCTCTATCACCAATTCTCTCTGGGCATTAGCCACAATGAGGGAAATCACGTCGGAGTACTGATGCAGTTGCATTGCGAAAACACCCTCCAATGTGAAGGTCAGTGGGTCAATGTCGAAGCTGATACCAGTCTTTTCCATCAGTTGTTTCCAATGTCTGTAAATGGATTCGGGGGCGGTACGGACATTTTTACACTGCATGAATTCGACCAAAAACGTTAACTTAAAATCAAAAAATAAATTAGTGCTTGATAATGCTGAATCCCTTCACTTAAGCGCGGGCTGGCCACATTATTGGAACTCTCTACCACTTTCGAAGAACCACATGTAGAATTTCGAGCATTAGAAAGTATCAGTTTTATTAAGGGATAGATAGGCGAATGCCTTTGATACCCCTGTCGATAACAAGATAGCCAAGAAATATATGGATACAACCGAAAAATTTAATAAATAAATAAATTACATGTGTGTTGACGAAGAGCGAATAGCTGTCGGGTAGTCTAAATAGTAATAAATCGCGGCTACTTGCTTAGCACAAGTAGTATGAAATGTGTGTATTATAGTTCGCCCGCGGTTTAGCGAGTTGCTGGGGAGGGAGGTGTTTGGTACGTCCAGTTTACTCTTAAATATATTCACACAGGTGGAGGAGACAAACTCTCCGAGGAGAACGCTCCACGCAGCAATCCCTCGGTTGCTGAAGAAAACAGCAAGAGTTTATTAACGCTTGTGGCCTCTTTCGGCTGCATAGTGAATCAGTATGCCCTGTTGAAACAAAATTTACGGATGGGTTCCAACAGACTTTTTAGATGCTTTAAAATAACCTCACTGTTGGCACAAAGCAAATCACGTAAAATGCTAAAATAAAACGGACTTTTTGTTTGTCGCAAAATGAAATGCTAATGCACGGGATAGCTACACAGGAAAAACACGCGAATAACCTAAGTGATATTAACATTGCTGAAAGTTAAGTTGCTCGCCCATTTTAGATACCCCTAGCCCCAGAAGCATGTATGATGGGACCGGCGGCATTAGTTTAGTTTTTAGTTTATTATCTGGTTTCTTAGTTCAGTTTTGGTATGAATGCAGTTTCGTTTTTAGTTTTGTTAAATTTAGTTTAGCATGTAGTAGTTATTTAAGTACATTTGTCTAACGTTGGCGGTATCTAACTAAACTGAAACTAAGATTTAACTAGCAAACGAAATAATAAACTTAAAACTAACCTTAAATTAAATTAAAGCTAATGCAACTAAAAGTATCCACAGGACTAGGGTTGTGCAAGTTTGGCGACAAACTTAACGTTTACCTTAAAATTGTTGACGAAACCGGCAAACGGGTTGCCACGAGACTGCACGAACATGAACTGGGCGTGCGAAGGAAGGACAAGCTATTCTTGGTCGCTGCCCACGCATCCTCGCCAGGGCACGGCTTCGACTTCGAACACATGCGAATACTAGGCCAGTCGGACGATCGAGTCTCACGCCTACTGCAAAAAGCATGGCACTCACACGCGGACTCTATTCATAGGAATATCGATCTCCCAGATGCCTATCTCGCGTTGGGCTCAAGTTCACTCACGGCAGAGCGAACAGTGGGATCTCAAGGTCACCCCCGACAGAGCTGACTTAATCACGCGGTGAGCTGTACGTTTTCATTCCTTGACAATGGCCTCGAGTGAGAGTCCG